CTCTCTCTCACACACTCTCTCTCTCTACACACACACTCTCTGTCTCTCTCTCTCTCTCACACACACACACACACACACTCGCTCTCTATCTCACACACACACACACACACTCACTCTCTATCTCACACACACACACACACACTCACTCTCTCACACACACTCGCTCAAACACACTCGCTCTCTCACACACACACACACACGTGGCTCTATGTGGCCATGAGTGTGTGTGTGTGTGTTTTCTGATGTCTGCGGTGTGACGGTGATGTGAAGCTGATCTCTGCCCAGCGTCACCATTAACAAACCCCTCGCCAATTTACTTCCCCTCAGATGAAAGATCCGGTTTCTGTGTGTGTGTGTGTGTTTGAGAGTGTGTGAGTCAGGGTCGTGACCCCTGACCCTCAGGATCACATGATGAGCTTCTGAAAGTCATGTTCATCGTTATTATAAAGTAGCGGTTTTCTCATATAGTGAATACAGATGTTTCCGCTCGTTCTGTGGTTTAAGTGTGTGTGTGTCCGTGTGCAGGTCACCGTCTCCATGTATAAGCGAGGAGCGCAGGGGTGGCTGGGTAAACCGCTGATCGCCACGGCAACCATCCCCTCCAGCACACGCGTGATCTTCCGCATCCGAGGAGAACCGACAGACACCAAGATCCCGGCGGGCAGCGTCCGCTCCATCACGCTGAGCATCTGAAGCCCTGCAGCTTTATTCTCTCCGCAGTGATTCATTCCATGCGCTCGATCATCACTACCGACACCACTCATGTCTTTATCACACCAATCAACGAGTTTCAAACGTGCTTTATATCTTTTTAATATTTGATGATTGCTGAGAAATGTTTTACTTTTCTAATCAGACATCAGCCTGTATTCTGAACAGAGTGTGAGTCCAGCGTTCATGTGTTCATACTCTTCAGGCTAGTAAATCTTCATGGTCATTTTTAAAATGTTACTAATTTCTTTAGTGACTTTAAAACTCTGAACATAGAAAAGATCCCGGCTGGTTTTGTCAAACTGACGAACATTTCTTGGCCTTTATTCAGATGAAGATATTTTGATCTGTTAAAGCCTCTAATATTTTGTCAGTTAATTTGAAATGATTGATATTTCATGCAATAAAATACTTCTTTCTGTCTCAAACAAATCATCTGGGTTTATTTGGGGAAAGGGACAGAAAGAGATTTCAGACATCGGTTAGTGAAATGATGAAATCACCTGAAGCTGCTGTTAAGTGTTTTATTTGAGACTGATTAGCTTAAGAGAATCATAACTTTGTCACTGACTCGCTTCACATCAAAATGAGCCTGTGGGAATATTAAACATCATGATGATCAATAAATGAACATCGGAGCATCTAAACACGTACTAAATGTGTGCAGTCAAACAAATCAGTGTTTTAGATCCGCGAGAGACAAAGCGTTCGACCGATGATGAGCTCCAGCGGCTCTCACTCACTCACGAGATCATAAACCAGCATAACCAGCAGATGAAGGCTTGTGTCACGTGACCAGAGCACAGTGAGCTGTCAATCACGCTCGGACCCCACAGATGACCACAGGTCATGTGATGACTGACAGCAGATGTGCTTTGAGTGAACCCTTCATATTTCAAAAGCTTGGTGTTTTAGTGGAAGTGCATTCTGGGTAATGATTCAGGGATGCTTTCACATCAGGAGTATTTGCATCAGGATCCTTCATCTTCAAATGAAGCAAGAACATGAATGTGCTGTTGAGGGATGAATCTAATCTTACAGTTTTTCAGCTGCTTTCACACACATTCAAAACTGCCTCTTTTATTCAAAACTTCACACACAAATCCAAGAACTGCACACAAAATGCAA